TGCTACTGCTACTGCTACTACAACTACTGACTAACTCTGCTTTTTGCTATTTGCGCTGCTGGTATGACTACTGCTACTGCTACGACTGCTCTCACTGCTACTTCGCTGCTGCTACTGCTGCTAGTGGTATTGCTACTTACACTAGGCATTGCACCTTTCTACTGCTATTGACAGACCTTGCCGCAATTCCCATAGCAACTTCCTAAAATTACGCAGCCCGTCGCAATAGCAGTAGGAGCAGCAGGAAAAATCGAATCGGTGGTAGCAATAGTAGTACAAGTCTTCATATTCTTCGAAGCTAGCAGCACTGTGGAAGCCGGGGGACAAAGCAGAGAAGACAACACCGCAAGCGAGACGAGACCTTTTGTTACTCTTTGTTTTACTGTGTTGTTTCCGGGCAGCATCAAGAGCACCATGCCTGGGCAGGTTCTGGGCATCAAATTTCGACGGGGCCCTACTTTTCGATGCATTTTGAGCGAAGCTCTGGGAATGTTCCTGGCGGTGGTGCACGAGCTTGAGCAGCACCACCTCTACCTTCGGACCGCACCATGGAAGGCTGCTTGCCTCATCGCCCCAGCCGATGACCCCGAGACAAAGGCCCGGGTCTTGAAGGAACTCGAGGCCGAGTGGACAATGGTCGTGAGCTTGGAGGCTCATCCGGCATCGGCGGCCGAGCTGCAGCAACACTGTGGGTTCACGGTTTTCCAGAATTACAGAGAGGTGATGACAGTCTGCGAGAAGCATGGATGGAAGGAGCACGACGAGGTTGCGAGCATCATGAGATGTTGGTTCCCGGAGGTTGCTTGGTCAAGCAACGTCGAATCTCTGTTTTCTGAGATGTCGGCGGCCGTGAAAAAAAGTGGGCAAAGTGACTTGGGCTCCGTGGCCAACCTCATGAGTGTCGGCATCAGAGGCTTGACTCGTCGCATTTGCATCCAAGAGGATGCTCCTCAGTCTTTGAAACTTGACAAAGACGATTGGTCCGGTCAGCAGGTGTCAGGATTGAAAAGCAAGATTTTCACTCCTTCCTCCTCCCCTGCCTGTGGCTCGGAACAAAGTATGATCCGCATGCAAATCGTGGTCGTTGTGGTGGTTGGTCTTGTCTTCCCTCCCTTTCTTTCAAGTTTTCATTTTCAGGCCGGCACGTGTCTTTCGACAACATCGTGAAGCCTTTTCCAAGCACATCGCCCTTCTTCCACCAGAACCACTGTTGCAACTACATGGGAGGGTTGCTGAAGGCGAAGTCGCCCTTCGGCAAAAGATGATGGCATAGCTACAGAGAATAACAAGGCCAAAGACATATTTCATAGGGGGGCAGAGACAGAGACAGAGAGAGAGAGAGAGACAGAAAACACAAAGACAAATAGGTGCATAGGGGTGTACTCTGTCGGTGGCCGAAGAATCATGTTATCTATTTTGCTAAGGCTTGGCAAGAACCCCATGGATGCTGCCCAAAACTTCTGGGTTCCCGATGTGTTCAGTGCTGCCATGCTTTTCCGGCACAACGATGTCTACTATTTGTCGACAGGGCGAACACCTGCTTTGCTGTACGTTCCTCGCAAGACAATGATCAGATTGTAAACTTGGGGTTTGCATTGGGTGCCCAGCATAAATTGATTCAGCATGTCGTGCAGTTTCTCTGGTGAGGCTGTCCGGCTGAAGGAGTTGCCGTATGTTTTCACTGGTGGCCTCCCGAAGGAAGAAACCGACGAGACAAGAATCCCCGTCAACGGCACAAACCAGGATGAATTGGAAGATCCGCTGTGCGACGGGGAATCCACGAAAGTCCTGGCACTGCTGATCGGAAGGCCGGGTGTCGATTGTCATGTATTGCAACTGTACCCAAGTCTGAACATATCCAGAAAACGATTCCAGGAGCCTGGTTTCCACGCTTTTGGTTTCGGCTGAAGAGGTCCCCGCTTGAAGCGATGATTTTTTTGTGGAAATACCAACATAGACAAACTCATCCGAGGTGAAAATTTTCGATTACACTATCCATGTGGCCGAACAGACCCTCGAAGCGAAGTGTGGCAGCAACCTGCTGCTGAGGCGAGGAACCCGAAAGTTTTCCTTGCTTGGATGGCTGGTGGAGAAAGGGGGCATCTTGAAAGCGCGAGTGAGCTCCTTGATGGACCTCATGGACAGCATGGGCATCGGAATGGCCAAAAATTCTACGAAAGCTCAGCGAATCCGGAAGATCTTGGCATTGAGCTCTGTGCGACAAGAGTGCTCCCAAGCCAGCATCGACCGCATTCTGAAAGATTTGGAGCACCAGGAGGCAAAAAGAAAAGCGAAGGATGACAAGCAGGCGGTGCCGGAGCCTGCCAGGGATGAGGCAGCCCATCCTAAACCTCACATTTTGATGAAGCTTCTGTTGTATCGTTCCTGGGTGGTTGTATACAAGCTTCCCAATGCATGCCCCGAACCAGGAAGAGATCATCTGGGAGGAGCTCGAAGATGATCCCGCAGCGAGAGCTTGCCGGGAGCTCTTGCAAGGGCAAGATGAGGAGGAGGAGGAGGAAACAGATTCTAGATCTTTCTAACACGTGTTTTTTTAGATGGGGCAAAGAGTCATGATTGTTTGTGCTGTTCCTCACGGCAACACTCATCTAAGGTCGGGGACGAGCCAGCTGGCCAGGAGGCGCTTCCTGGTGGACAGGCTGGGGAGGCATCAAGAGCATCTCGTGCTATGCTTTCGGCATCGACGAGTCTACCAGAAGATCTTCTACGCCTGATGCCTTTGCCTGCGGGCACATCCATGAACAAAGTCGTTCATTCAGATCGGACCCTTCCACATTTCCAAGGCAAGCTACATTCAGGAGCATTGGTGGATGGAAAGACTCCTGTTTGCACGTAGATAAGCTGTTTTGCTGCAATCATACTTTTCAATTTTCTTGGCATGCATAAAACCCAGGAATTCCTGTGCAGCATCCTTTAATCCGGATCTTCCTCGCGACACCTACGATCGCCGAAAGAAAACATTGAAGAGTGTGACCGCTGCAAAGCGGTCTGAATCCCAGGCCTTTTATATAGTATGGGTGTGGCTGTGTTCAGCCACAGAGGAAAGACCTGCCAAGAGAAGGCGGTGCTGATGTTTCGTCTGTGGTAAAATAATAATAAGATAATGAATCACTAGTTTTAGCGGGGCCAACCTGCGAGACGAGCCATCACGGGGGAGCTGGCAAAGTCAGCAAGACGACAACAGGGGCGACGACCGGGGAGAAAAAGAGCGACCGAGCAAGCACCAAGACATAGTAGAAGCACCATGGTCGAGGGAGCATGCCTTTCGACAGCC